CAACTTTAGGAGTTATCGGTGGCCATATTTTCTTCCTAGGAAAAAAAGCCAATTTGACTCAAAAAAAGAAAATGAGACTAACATGTAGAGAAAAACTTGAGACCAGAGAGAGTGATGATAGCTGGTTATAGTTAATTATGAGGCTCAGCAATATGCCTGCCTTCCTCACAGCTTGGTTGATGTGGCAGTGTCCTTCCAGCAAACTCTTTTGTTTAAACTCGTTAAAATTAGGAGTCTGTCTAGTTCAACCTAAAGTCTTTTTTTTTTTAATAAGAAATTTTTGCCTTAGGGCACGTATGTTCTGTCAAAGAGTCAGAGAAAGCAAGAGGGAAAATGAGAAATCACGCCACAGGGGGAATGGCTACGCTGCAATCTCTTCTCCTCTTGGGATTGTGGACACCCAACACATGCGTGCCCAGCGTGATTTCCAAGCCAAGTCCAGAGCTGGAACCACAGTCAGCCATGTGAGAGTCTAGCGAAAAATTGCCACTCCATCTCTGACCCCTCAACCTAAGGTCTTAATTATTTCAAAACTGCTACAGTCATTCATTTCTGATGCTATAAATGTCTTATTCTCCTTATGCTTACAGGACTATTTTTACTAAAGTAGTAATTCTTTTAAAAAGTTTTATTTATTATATTTATTATTATTTAAATTTTTTGCTATAGGACACATGTGTTCACCAGAAGAGAGATAAAGTGAGAAAGCAAGCCACCAGGTCTAGGACTCGAACCACGATTGGCCATGTGGGAGTTCAGCACCCCAACCACCACACCGCTGACCCCTAAGATAGTAATTCTTAAATTCCTATCCTCACACGTCTTCAGAAACTTCACATGGGATATAGGTGCAATTAGTTAAATATTAATATTTTTCTGTACTAGTTTATTTTACACAGATACCTAGCCATTAGGCAAAGACCATGAACTCATATGGAATATAGCAATAGTACTTGGTAGATACTATAAATGACCATGACTAAACTATCTTTAAAAATATTAATCAATTTGATATAGTTTAATTCATAGTTAATTTATTAACTGAATGCATTACTTATTATAAAAACAATCAAACCATGCATAGATATTCTGTTGATCTTGATGGTAGAGATCTTTATTTTTTCTAAAAGAATTATCTCATTAGTTTTATTTATTACTGTTTTTTAATTTAATTAAATTAATTAATTTACTTACAGTCATTCACTGTACATCAATACAGTATACAAAATGAGATTTTTCCATCCAGAATACATTGTATATTGGCTCAATCAAGGATATTACCATACATACTATCATCAACAAATAATTTTTTATTTCTTAATTCTCATTTATTTTGCCTCCCCCCCTTGATTTCCTACCTCTCCCATTCTGCAAATTTCACTCCTTCTTCCACATTATCTCTGATATCTATAGTTGTTTTCCAGGCCTTTTTTTTTTTCACATTTTATTGATTCACTAAAGCTCTTAATTAATTTAAAAACTTTCGATAGCAAGCACAGCTAATATATACATATCTATGAACACATGTCTGACTTTAGGCGTAAACCTTAGCGAATAAAGTGAACATACTATAAAGTAGCATCTAGCTGGGGCTATATATTTTACTGCAGTCATTACATAGGTATTAATAGGTACTTTTGAATGCATTTTTTAATTTTAAGGAAAAGTTTTAGTTTTAATAAACCAAAATAAAAAAATGTTAAGAGAACTGTGCTTAAAACTTAAAGCCAACAAAAGGTTAGGATTCAGTTCAAATAGTAGGTAGATGAACCTATCAACAGTTCAAGAGAAGACAAAAATCTTTACATATGGAAATCAAAGCATCAAAGAAAATCAGTAATGTTTTAGTCTAAAGTCAAAAAATTCTATTTTACTAGTTTAGTGTCATGTAATTAATCTCTCTTCTATTGAATTTGCCATGTTACTGTGGTCTAATCTTTGCATTTGAACTCTGAAAGTTAACAATCAACTCTGGACTTATCCCTACCACTAGGCTGGCCATTCTCTTGGCTGTTTTTTGTACTCTTATTTTTGTGTGTCTGACTTTAATTTTCCTGGTACAGCACTCCCTTCAGCACTTCTTGGGGAGCTGGTCTGGTGTTGGTAAATTCTTTCAGGTTTTGTTTATCTGAGATTGTTTTTGTCTTTTTTTCCCCATATGAAAGATAATCTTACTGGGTATAGTATTCTTGGTTGAAATTGTTTTTCACTTAACACTTTGAATATATTTTCCCATTCTTTCCTTGCTTGCATAGTTTCTGATGAGAGGTCTGACATTAGCCTAATGGGATATCCCTTGAAAGCTAACTTAGGGGACCAGCAGGTGGTGTGGTAGTTAAGGCACTGGACATTCCCACATGGCTGACCACAGTTCAAGTCCTGGACCTGGTGGCTTGCTTTTTCACTTACCCTCTCTCTCTTTCTCTCTCTCCCTGTGTCTCTCTCTGGTCAAATTAAAATAAATGAATAAATAAATAAAATTAAATAAATAATTCTTTTTTTAAAAAAAGTTAACTTGACGTTTCTATCTTGCCAAATTTAGTATCTTGTTTCTCTGTGGCTTTGGCCAATCTAGATATGATGTGCCTTGAAGATCTTGTGTTGATTCTATGTGGGGTCCTTTGCATTTCTTGAGTCTGTATATTTGAGTGCCTCTCTAGATTTGGAAAGTATTTTTTCCCAGAATTTCATGAAATAAATTATCGATGCCTTTATTAGTTTCTTCACCTTCGGGGATACCCATGATCCCAGTGTTTGGGTTTTTAATGATATCTAGTAGTACTCGTATGTTATTCTCATTTTGGGGGGTTATTTTCTCAGTCTTTTTGGTGAATTTTTGTAGATCAGAGGTTCTGTCTTCTGCATCTGAGATTCAGTCTTCTGCACGATCTAATCTGGTTTTGATATTTTCAAAGGAGGTTTCAATTTCCTGTATTACAGCCTTCATCTCTAACAATTCAATGTGATTCTTTTTTATGGTGTGTATCACCTTTTTCAGATCATGTAAGAACTTCCTCACTTCTTGGAACTCGTCTCTTTTCTCCTGCATTTTTTGGAGTTCATTATCTCTCTTCTTTGCATCTCTGTTAGCTTTGTCACTATTAGTATTCTAAATTCTTTATCTGACATTTGCACGAGTTCTCTTATGTTGTCTGTGGAGGATGAGTTATTCTTTCCCCTTTGAGGAGAGATATTTTCTTGGTTTCTCATATTTCTTGTGCCTCTGTGGTGGTTTCTGGTCATCTGGTGGATTATGTTTTTTCCTAGTTTTTGGAGTTAAATCTCAGCATTCAGAGGAATACAGGAGGAGGTGACCCGGAGTCTCTAAACAGTACTGTTTTTCTCCCTTGTCTCAGCTGGTTCAGTGGAAATTGAGGATTAATCTGACCCTAAAAGTATTCAGATATTTGGCTACAGAACGCCTAGACCTGTCTAGAAAATTAGTATGTGGAGGCTGAGCAGAAAAATGAGAAAGATAAAAAGAACAGGAAATGGAAAATAAAAAATAAAAATAGAAAAAGGAGAAAAACCAAGACAGAAAACAATTTTTAAAAAAGAAAAAATATTTTGAGCGAAAAATGAAAACTGTGCAGTGCGCTAGGCATGATTGAAGCCACTCAGAACTCAGATATATATGGTTGCTGATTAGCTTGTCCTTTGGGGATAGCTGGGGGTGGGAGTAAGAATTAGCAAGACAAAAGAGTAGCAGACAGCTAAGAAGTTTAAAAAAAAATTAAAATAGAGAGAGCAAGATAGAGAGAGACTGAGAGAATAAATAGGGTGTTCTAACCTGGCTCCTGGCTAGATCTAGGCGGCAGGAGGTTGAAGGCTGGGCAAAAGGTTTTTCAGTGGTCCTAATTCCTGAATGGGGTCGCTCAGAACTCTTTTTATTTTTTTTTAACTTGACCAGAGATACAGAGTGTAAGTGAGAAAGAAAGCCACTGGATCTGGACTTGAACCACAATTGCCCATATGGGATTTTCGTACTTTAACCACCACACTGCCTGCTGGCCCCAGTGGTATTGGTATTCTAAAATCAGTCGACCTTAATCTTTATCAGAATTTTTTTCAAATAGTATTTACTTTTAAATGAATATTTCAATTTTGGTATAAACCACAAACATTTGCATTAGACATAAAATATAATCATTCACATAGTAAGCAATTATTGTCAAGTTAATAATGTTTAAATTCATTGAGACTGTAAGATCTCTCCAAGGTAGGGTTTTGTTTTATTTGCCATCTTTTCTTTTTAAGGGCTTATTTATTTAATTAATTCTTTTTTTTTAATTACTTTCTAATTTGATCAGAGAGAGACAGAGAGAGAGAAAGGGAAAGGAAGAAAGCAAGATGCCAGGTCTGGGACTTGAACCATGATTGGCCATGTGAGAATCCAGTGCTTTTAACCACCACACTACCAGCTGACCCTTGTTTTGTTTTGTTTTGTTTTTTCCTTGTTTTGTTTTTGATATGCATATCTATTTCAGATTATTAATGACATCAAAATTACCCACACTCAGAACCTTTGTTGACTGAGCAGTAATTTTGACTTTCCCATCTTTTAAAAAATTAAAGTGTTACCCTGGTGTTAACAGTGCAGGGAGGTGTTGCCTGCTCTAAGTGAGGAGTTTGTGCTCTTAGTAGCTCATTGAATAGATACTTCTCAGGGATTACCCTCAAACACACTTCCCAGTTACTTTTGTCTAGGTGCTCTTATGTTCCTACCTCCACTTGCAGATCACACTCTTAATAGTCACAGGGGCTAGTCAAGAATCTGTGTTTTTAAAGGTGGCAGGAGATTGTGAGGAGGTGACAATGATCAAATTTCATGGAAAATCTTCTTGCTGGTATTATTTCCTCTGTTTACTTTCTAAAAACATTCTTTAGAAATCTTAACTCTAATAAATCAAAGACACTAGAAAGCAAATAGTATGATAGAATTTAATATATATATATATGTGTGTGTGTGTGTGTGTGTGTATGTATATTTTATTTTGTAGGCTATATATCGATAGATGCCATGAAGAAATTCCTCGGAGAGCTGCATGACTTTATTCCTGGAAGCTCAGGATATTTGGCATACCATGTTCAAGATGAAATCAACATGCCTGCTATAAAAAACAAATTGAAAAGGAAATACTAAGCTAAATTGTCATTGTGTCTGGACATTTATTTTCTATAAAATATTACCAAAGGCGTACAAAATTTAAAATGTTCCCGTTTGAGACCACAGGATGGTGAAACGGGGAAGAATTATTGTCTTCTTCAAAATGTATCTTTGGGAAATTCAGAATCATTTTGGCTGTGTGTTTCTACATTTGGGCTAGACATTTTCCCCAGCTTGTAACATTGTATACACAAATTCTGAGTGCACAGTTGTTATGGACTAATTGTCACTGAAACATGCTTCATAAGAAATCTGTTTCTCAGTGAAATGCTCCCTTAGTTTTAATATTCTATTAATTATATATTTTTCTAGGTTCAATACTGTGAATGCCAAGTTTTATGATTCTTGTCATCTTATTTTTATTCAAAAGAATTAGAATGCTATAGCTGAATTTTGAGTTAGTTTCTGACTTAAACTATATGGAGTAAAACATTTTAGTAATTCATATTTTATGTGTGGTTGATTTCTACTAATAAATAGAAATGATTTAACAGAGCAAACAGACTATGAGTAGTGTTACATCATCTGAGATGACCCTGCAAGGTACCTTAGAATCACAGTGCTAGGGAGGACCTTAGAGAATGTTGAGTCCAACCCATTTATTGTTTTTAATGAGGAAATAAAGAACTGGAGAGAGTATTTTGCCTCAGATGACTAATTGAGCCAAATCCAAATCGAAACACAATCCACTTGATTTGCCAGGGTAGTACTTTCCCACTCTCCCACACGGTATGTACTATGGCCTCTGTTCTAGGTATGATAGGATTGCAGATAAGCAAAGGGGGCCAGAAACAAGCCAACCTGTGTGGTTTGTCTTTTAAGTAAGCTGATATAGTACTGAGATATAGTGATTTCAGGAAGTCAACTTATTCTCTTTTCACATGCTATCTAGAGTCTGGGAGGGTATTACATTTTTTTAGGCTTATAAATGACATGTTATTTGTAAAGTTTTCATCTTGTTGGAAGTAAGTACCTACCAGCTGTACAATTATTTAGAGAAAATGCACACATTTTTAGTGTTGGGATCATTTCTGTTTGTGGGTTCAGACGCTGGCCTCTCTCCATGACTCAAATTTTATAATGCAAAAAAAATTTTTTTTGGAGAGGTTTTTGCTATAGGGCACATGCACTCTCCAGAAAGAGAGAGGCAGAAAGCAAGAAATCACTCCCCAGGGGGATGGCCATGTTGCAGTCCCTTCTCCATTCTCTTGGGATCTTGGGCACACACATACATGTGCCCGGCGTGAGTTTAAACCACCAGGTCCGGGACTCTAACCATGGTCGACTACATGGGAGTTCAGCGACATAGTCGTTACACCAACTGCTGGACCTTATAATGCAAAATTTTAACACTACTGTTGGCATCAACATTTGAGAGTTATCTTTTTCCCATATAGTGACTTTTCCTTATTTATATTCATAACTATCGTTAAGCCCATCTGACCTTGTAAATTTAAAAATATTGAATGTCCTTCTCTCTGCTGGGTTGGAGAGCCCCCAGAGGTTCAGCAAGAGGACCAGGTGTGAGCATTCTTGATCACCACTTACTGACCCGACAGTCCTGCACTATACCCTGAGGCCAGCAGGTGACGCCCAAACCAGCCTTCTCTGCCCTGCCTGGTGCCCACCAAAGCTGGGCTTGCAGCCCTCAGCACTGTGCATACATAAGGTTGGATGATCTTTTCCTTCAGGATCTACCTGAGGAGTCACTGGAGCTCCAGGACAATGTGGGGCTGGCCCACAGATGGAAAGCACTCCTGTCCCTGCCCTGATAGCTGAAGAGATTTGCCAGAGCTTTTCCTTATGGAGGACCAACCAATGATATCAAAGGACCTAGGCATAGACTCCATCACATAGTCTGCGTTTACACACTAAAACCACGCGAACATAACACAGGGAGGTTTCAGGCACTAGGGGCCGCTCATCACCTCTCTTCTGAAGAAACAACAGCTTGCTTTTGTCAGGTCACAGGAACTTGATGCTGAAAGGACAGAAACAAAGTCAAGAACAGGCACACACACACACACACACACACACATACACACACACACACACACATCCTACTGGTCAATAGGTCCTTCTGCCAGAAGCTAGCAGAGAAAGGAGCAGAAAACCTTCCTAAAGAAGTCTTCCGTCACTTCCTGGAACCCCTCATCTGACAGCCAGCTCAAGGATACTTTTGTCTTTTCCTGGCTCAGCTCTGTGCGGTCACCATTGATGGGGCCTCAGACCTGTTCAACAAAGCCTTTCCATAAAGAAGTATTTCTTTTTAACACTATGGAGAGTTCCTGTGGGTAGTATTTAGTTCCTGTGGGGTAAATGGAGGCTTGGATTTCTGAAGAACTTAGACTGGGCTGGCCTGGAGCTCTCTTTGTGTGTTGTGCAATCAGGTGGGTAAATTGGATCATGTTGAAGGATATGAAGGATAGAGACAGGATGTACTTAAGGCCTGAAATTCCAAGTCCCACAAAAATGGGCACCAGTTGTGTCTTTCCACATTTCCCAGAGCAACCCTGGTCTCTCTGGATCTCTGAAGCCTGTGGGTTTCAGGGAGGGAGAATTTTTTTTTTTTTTTTTTGGAGAGGTTTTTGCTATAGGGCGCATGCGCTCGCCAGACAGACAGAGACAGAGAGATAGAAAGCGAGAAATCACCCCCCAGGGGGGATGGTCACGCCGCAATCCCTTCTCCTCTATTCTCCTCTCGGGATCTTGGGCACGCACACACACACGCCCGGCGTGAGTTTAAGCCACCGGGTCTGGGACGTGAACCGCGGTCGACTACGTGGGAGTCCAGCAACATAGCCATTACGCTAACTGCTGGTCCCAAGGGAGGGAGTACTTTTATGTGAATCTCCTGGGAATCTTGGATACAGTAAACCTCTATCTACTGTAGACTTCTGTCCCCATGGGCAACAGGATAGTGCAGGGTGTTTCTGATGCCTCATTACCAGTCATTTCTCAGAGTTACTATCAATGGAAGCAAGACCAGAGGTCAGCATGGGATTTCACTCTCCTCAACACTGGACCTACAGGTGGGGCTGTGTTTTAGCTCTACAGGAGGGGATGGTTCAGGGATGGGTCAGGCTGAGCCTTGAGGAGCAAACTAGCATGCAGAATCCATAAGGCTACTGGTAGCCAGGAGGTTCTGAACCCAGAGGTGGTGCTTGGTCCAGCTCTGTCTCAAGCATTGCGGTGCCATTCTTGCCTACTCACATCTGTGGCTTATCCAACCCAAGCACATCTAGTCTCTGCAATAAGATGATAAGGGAAGCCAGGACTACCTAGGATGGGATACCCCATGTGAATATTTAGAAGGAGAGTCTCAGGAACACCACCCATGTGAATATTTAGAAGGAGATTCTCAGGAACACCACTCCCATTGGAGATCTGGTTGAGGCCTTTCTCCGTAGGTTAAGGAGCATGTTGCAGCTGCGTGTCCTTGTCCTACCCATCATGTTGGCAGGAGTACTCCTTGGGCCTGGTTGGGGGCCTGAGGAGAAGGCTCCCAGGCAATCATCCAAGTCACAAGCATTGCCTCCTTCTGCCTGACACGGGCACCAGAGCTCCCAATACACCTTTCTCAGATGGCCAGAATTAGTGCTGAGGCCATATGAGAGGACCAGGTTCAGATCCTGGACTAATCTAAGTAAGTCAGGCCAAGCTCACATGCCTGTAAATCTAGCAAACTGGAGATTTGGGGCAGAGGATCACAACAGTGAAAGCCTAACAAAAGTGCCTATTTCTCTTTCTCATTGTTCTGCCTGCTAACTTTCTATTTTTCTCAACACTAAAAAAAAAATCTCCACCAAAAAAGCCAATTAAACAAACATACAGAAAATAAACTGCTAGAGCATACAAATAAATTGAATGAAGTGGCTGGATACAAAATCAACACACAAAATAAGTAGTATTTCTATATACCAATAATGAACTAACGAAAAACAAGATATTTGGAAGGCAATTTCATTTATGATAGCTGCAAAACAACACAAAGCAAACAAAACCAACTAGTAATAAATTTATCCAAGGAGAGAAAAGATTTCTATAATAAAACTGTTAAACACTTATGATAGGAATAGAGAAAGATAGCAAGAGAACAAAGAGAGAGGCATGACATTAGTGGGACACAGATATGGCTTATTACCTGTTGATGATGACGTGTATAATATTATCAACTGGTTTGGTCTGAGAAATATATCATGATAGGTAAAGTCTTTTTACAAGAATAATGAGAAATAGTGCTTGACTGTTTAAAAAAATAATTGGAATAATAATAGCAATGATTGGAAAAAAACAATGAAAAGATATTTAATGATGAAATGGGGAGTTTAATGTCTCTGTGTTGACTGACATGCATGGCATTCCCTTTGAAAAAGCAATGTAATACACTGTAAAGTTATATGCAATTCAATGTAATATAAACAAGATTATGATGATAAAAAAACACTTATGATAGAAATTAAAGGGACCAGCACTTAGCGTAATGGCTATGTCACTGAACTCCCATGTAGCCGACCATGGTT